TCTCTCTCTCTCTCTCTCTCAGGCCTGGGCCCTCCCTCACACAGAAAAGCATTCGGTTATGGTCACAGAGCAAGTGGCATGGCGACAGTATGAGATCCCACGGTCTGGCACCACTGTTGCTAATCCAGTCCGTCTGCAGGCTCTACCCGCTCCCCAGTGCCTCTGGGCCCAATCTGTGAGGCTGCCTTTGCAGGGGACCCCTGTTCCTCCACTCCCTGCAAACACTACAAACACCTAGCAGACCTAATGCTCACAGTATTTAGTCAAAGTTACTAAATCAGTACTGATTGATGTTTGTCACTATCTTCATAAAACTTTAAATATTCAAAAAAAAAACCTTTAAATATTCCCACAGTCATTTCCAATGAAATATTTATACTGACCTTAATATTTAACTCAAAAGAGTAATTTTGGAAAGAGGGGTGATACAAATATATAGTAAATGCTTAAATTTTCAAAAGCTGCTATAGTAAAAGATACAATGCCCCCTCACCCTTCAAACATGTTCCGCTGCTCTCACCACTTGCTGAAGCAGTTCTGGCCTTCTTTCCTGAGTGTCTCTAAGAGGTGTGATTTAAAACCTGGTGGGTGCTGCCGCCAAGTGCCACTCAAAAACAGGCAGGTTTGTAAAAACATGATGCTGCACCACCCTTATTCAATGCACCTGGTCTGTACCACGTCCGACTTCTCCCCAGAATCAAAATGGCCTCAAAAGGCTAATACTTTCAACCGACTCTGAGGCAGCCACCATAGTGCCACTACAGACATTCACTGAAAAGACTTTCAGAACTACTTCAGACAGCAGTGAGGACAATGGAGTAAGTGTGTTGGAAGTGAGGGGAGGAACCTATTTTAATTCACTTAATTTAAAAAACAGAACGCAGGGGGCTGGAGATTTAGCTCAGCGGCATAAGCACCTGCCTTGCAAGCAGGCAGTCGTGAGTTCGATCCCCAGTACCGATAAAAATGAAAAAGACAAAAAAAAAAAAAAAAAAAAAAAACAGAACGCAGGGGCTGGAGGTTTAGCTCAGCGGCATAAGCGCCTGCCTTGCAAGCAGGCAGTCGTGAGTTCGATCCCCAGTACCGATAAAAATGAAAAAGACAAAAAAAAAAAAAAAAAAAAAAACAGAACGCAGGGGCTGGAGGTTTAGCTCAGCGGCATAAGCACCTGCCTTGCAAGCAGGCAGTCGTGAGTTCGATCCCCAGTACCGATAAAAATGAAAAAGACAAAAAAAAAAAAAAAAAAAACAGAACGCAGGGGCTGGAGGTTTAGCTCAGCGGCATAAGTGCCTACCTTGCAAGCAGGCAGTCATGAGTTCGATCCCCTGTACCGATAAAAAGGAAAAAGACAAAAAACAAAAAACAAAAAACAGAACGCCCCTTGTGTTCTAATATAAGGTGAAACGAAAAACACTATGGATACTACCCTCACTTCACATTTAAGAATGTTTCTTTAACCCATTTCTAAAATTAAGCTGCTGATAGCAACTGAAGTAAAAGAACAACTTAGTATTTACAGTGTTTTTTATATTTCACACCCAAAACAAGTCACATACACAGAAGAAATTAGAAGCCACACAACTAAAATTTCTGAAATGATAGCAACTGAAGTAAAGAAACGATTTAGGGATTATACTTTTGATTAACTTTGCATGCCTGTATCTAGCAGTCTGAACAACTATTGGAGTACAGTGCAGTATACTAAGGTACAGTAAGGTGCAGTTTACTAAGTACTGTTGATTTTCTACTGTCTTATTTTTAGAATCCAAGGTTTTGCTCATTATATTGTTTTGTTTCACTTTATTGCTGTTTTATTCTCTTTAAAATAAAAAATTAAATTATGTGAAGCTGGAGTGTATATTTTGACCCGAAGAAGAATGATTCTATTTCCTTGTGTTTAGGAGGAAATAGGCCCCAGCAGGAAGTGAACACTGAGCAAGCTCTCCAGCTCCACTGCCGAATCCGCCTGGCAAGCTGCATGCGTGCGGATGGGCACAGCAGCACTCCATCCACAGGAACGAAGGCTCAGAAAGGCCCACCAGACCTTCTCCAGGGCACCACTACACACGCAAGGAAGACTACCTTTCAGCACCCTGATCCGCCAAGGGGAAGATTTATACTATCTTCTGAAAATAATGCAACAGCTACCAAGATTGTTTGACGAGCCCAACCTAGATTACGGAGAATCACATATTTTAAGCGTAAGTACTGGTCAGTCACATTCAAGTCAGTCACATGTCATCTGTCTCCTGCTCTAGGCGCCAGGTCCCCAGGAGAAACCCATTCAAGTCATAACTAAGGCCGCTCTTGGTGACCAACAGCTCACTAGCCTGCAGCAAACATGTCCTGAGTGCTCTTCTGTGGCTCTGCTTTCCAAAAGGCCCCTTAAATGTGGAACTTGCCAGCTGTGGTAGCACAGGCCCTTAGAAGGATGGCCGCCACAAGATGGCGGCCAGTGTGGGCTACCTAATGAGTTCAAAGCCAGGCTGCACTAGATAGAGACCCTGTCTCAAAACAACACAACACCACAGCAGCATAAGCTGCAGCACTCAGCCTGTGCTGCTTGGAAACTCTCTTGACCTTCAAACGCTCTTACAGACCAGGCCACAGCGGTGCTGTGTGTGTTGCATTCTGGGGTCCTGTTCCCTGGCTCCACATTCCACCCTCCCCCACCTGTCACTCTCCCCTGTCCCAAACCAGCACTCATCAGTGGTGACCACTCCCAGCCATGGCAATATGGTCCCGAATGCTGCCATGGTGGTGGGGTTCCTCTCTAGGGCCTGAAAGCAGCCCCCTCCCTGAGCTGGTCTTCACATCCTGATTGTGAGGAGAGTGGGCCAGGCCCCACTGACAGTGTCTAACAGATGTGCTGGGGACTGAGAGGGTATACAACACTTTAAGCGAAAGCGGTTTCCCAGAGCAGAGAGTGATGGTATCTTGATTGTACCTTGATTGTATCTTTGTTTGTTGTAATTGTTTTTGTTTTTTTGAGACAGGGTCTCTGTACTGTATGTAGTTCAGGCTGGCTATGAACTCACAGTGATCCTCCTGGCTCAGCCTCCCAAGTGCTGGGCTTATAGCTGTTTAGACACTGTGCCCATGATGTTATTTTAAATGATTCATTTCAAAGATAAAAGGCCACAGACAGAGGAAAATTATTTCACATACTGCTTGTCTTCCATTCATTCAGTATCTAGTGATCAAATTCCATCTGAAATTAAGACTTCATAAAGAAAAGTGGGGTGTGGTGATGCACACCTATAATCTCAGCACTTGGGAGGTTAAGGCAGGAGGATCCTTGCAAGTTTGAGACCAGCTTGGTCTACAAAGAGAGCTCAAGGCCAGCCTTAACTGCATAGTGAGACTCTGCCTCAAAAGGACAAAAAAAAAAAAAAAGACTTCATAAAGCATCTGAAGCTATCTCTGAAAACAAGCTGTACCTTAAGACACATGCCATTCAGGAAAGGCCAACAGAGAGCGGTTAAAAATGACAGAATGCACAGCAGCAGGAGAGAGGACTGCTATCTTTGTTCTGTTCAGAAATACCTTCGCTGGGTTAGGGATTGTGGCACAGGGGCAGAGCACCGGCCTAGCATGCCGGAGGCCCTGCGTTCAATCCCGAGCACCACACACACACACACACACACACACACACACGTGTGCACATGCACACACGCACACACACCATGACACGACAATACTTTCATTAACAAAACTGACACATGGTTAAAAAGCCCAAATAAGTAGTAAGGGTTGGCACTAGAAAAGGGTTCATGAGTCTGCTGCTGCTACCCTATGCCAGTAGGAAACAGACACACCTCTAACACAATCCAGGCAAGGAAAATAACAAATAGTTAACTAACACACACACACACACACACACAGAGACAATCACCCTCTATCATATGAAGAAAAAGCACAAAGCAGAACTTGGGACATTTCCAGTTTCATGGAAATAAGAGAATGCAGTTTGAGGAAAGTCTGGCAGTTGCCAAAGGAAACAGAATAACCCCTTGCCTCCAAAGACAGTGATTAAAATTCATGCTCTCTCTTGCATTCAAGTTTTCCACAGGACCTGAATGCAATGAAAACAAATGCCCTGCACTAAGACTTGCAATAACCATGGAGACAGAAACTTGAAAATTCAGTAATATCTTCTCCAATTCAAGTTCAAACTTGGAGAGAAAACAATTCCATGACAGACTCTCCTTATCGCTGGTGACTGGCCTCTGAGTTCCCATCTTCTAGGCTATTTCTGCTTAAGAAAATTTCCCACCCAACTATCTGGAAAGAAAAACAGGCACAGTTTAAAAAAAAACCAGGACACACACACACACACACACACTTCCCACAGCACACTCAGAAGGTGAGTCAGCAACCACTCAACCCACAGTGGGCACAGCTCTGCATCACATACCATAGGGGCTGACAGATGGACTGAACCCAGCGAACCCCAGGTGCTCCCTGGGGTGCACTGGGCGCACCGGGCCTGGGATGCATTGGGCACACTGGTCCTCAGGATGCAGGCTTTGTCTCCCTCTGCAGCCTCAGTGAAGGGTCAGCAGAAGTCACTGTCAGTCTGGGACAGCCAACTAACTGATCTGAGGAATGCAGATCCGGCTTCCTGTGCTGCCCCAGACTGGTCCCACAAGAACCGGGGGCCGACACTAGACTGGGCCAAGCCATCTCTGCCACAGCCGGGGAGTAACTACTCCCAGGAAAGCCCCCAGAGCAGAATGTTGAGTGCTGCTGGTAATCCACCCCGCTGCTCAGGACTCCCTCAAAAATGCACTCATCTTACCCAGGTAACTCAAGCAATGTCAAATCAAGGTAGTCTACTTATCTTACTGTAAAATGAGATTAAAATACCATTTTATGTTTGAGCTTTTTTTAAACAGCAGTACAAAAATATGAATAAATTAAAACTTTCCAGGAGGAGGAAAAGGACCTTGCCAGGAATTCATTTAAATGAAAAGGGTGTGAGATATTTTCCCCATTACCTTGTCAGGCCACCACTGAAGATCTTCACCTAGTGACACTGGGCTCTGCACGGGGGTGTTCTTCTTGTCCAAGCTGGGCTCTCCTTCTTTGCTGGTAGAGCCCCTTTCATTATCAAATGAGGCTCCATCAAGCCACCTTCTCTCACGTAAACGTAAAACGGATTCACGTTCACGCAACAGCTCAGAGTCTCTCTCTAAGGGAAGAAGGAGAACTGGTATGCAATTGGGTCACACCAGTGGGATAAAAGTAAGCCACTCTCTAGTAAAGACCCTTCAGGATGCAACTAACAGCAGTTCATCTACTCACAAAACCTTATGTCAGCGTGTACCTAACAGAGCTGGCCCGCAACACTCTAGATAGTAACCTTTTTCCAGTGAGTGGATACAAATTATAAACTGGTTATTTTTTTAAAACTATGCAGAGGCAAATGCATACTATGAACATTTTTATTTGTAAATTAGAAAACGCATATAACTAGGATTTCCACATGTTAGATACATACAGGCCAACCAAAAGAGGTATTTTTTCCAGTTTTTTTAAAAAATCCAGACATGTGGGGAAATTTCATAATTAAACTACAAATACATTAATGTAAACAATTATAAAGATTTTAGTAAAGTAACTTTATAGGCAATATTTTTATGGATAACTCATTTAAAAATCTGAGGAATAAGACTGGAGGGGAATTTGCTTTTTGAGGAGAAAGTCTTAATTTCTAAGTTTAGCCAAAATGTCTTCCCTGCAACTGGCCTACCATTATCTAAAGCCACGCTTTTTTCAGCTTGCTGATATATTACTTTTTAAAATAAGATAACCAAAATAGCCAGATGTGGTGGTGCACTCCTGTAATCCCAGCACTTGGAAGGCTAATGCAGGAGGATCATTGCAAGTTCGAGACCAACCTGGGCTACAAAATATGCTCAAAGCCATCGTCAACTGTATACATCGAAACCTTGTCTCAAAAAGACAAAAAGCAAAAAAAACCCCACAATAATCAAAATACATTTTCCAAGATCTGTAGAATAAGAATTAGAGACAGCATTATAACTGAATCATAAAATTGCCATACATAGAGGTCAGTGCTGGTCAAGTATCAGTTATTTCAGATGGTTCTAACTAAAGGTTAGGCCTGTATGTACTGAACTTAGGAAAAGAAAAGGGGAAAAAGGACTTGTCTCAGATACTGAATGTACTTACTACACTCGAGTCAGTGAAGTATGCATTTGCTTAAACAATTTTGAAGCTACTACATCATACGTTCAGTATATTAAAAGATCACCCATAGATCTGTTAGTTTTTAAGTCTGTTTATAAGAATCAGATGTTTGGACCAATGCCTTAATAAAACACAGCATCTTTCCCAATTCATTAATGATCATTAACTACAGGTTATTTTTCTCTATTGTTTCAATCAAGTGGTTTGAAATTATAGAAAGTAAAAAAGCAAAGTTATAATTCAACCTAAAGCTTATTCAAAATTACACAAGAAGAGCCAGGGATTTTGCTCAGTTACATAAGTGCCTGCCTGGCAAGCGCAACATCATGAGTTTGATCCCCGATACCAATCTCCCCCAAAAAAACCCACAGGGAAGCTAGTTTCATGGTTTCAAAATCTCCTACTTTCCACTCTGTACTATGTTTTTTAAGGATTTCAAGCTTTTAAAAGCATAAGGTGGTAATCATTTCTATACACTTAACACTGACCACGCTCATCCTATGCAGTAAGTTTCCCATACTTCTGACACTTAAAGAAGCAGAATTGTTATATTTTAATCAAATGAACGTGAGACTTTATTTCTGAAAGCTGCATGTCACAATAAGGCGTTTAGCTCAAAAACTGATATTCTAATTACAGTTTGTAAGTCATAAGCTATGGTACATATTATATAACATAAACAAGATCACCTCTGAAATACTACCGTGGTTCTTCAACATAAAGAATGACAAGTTTATTGGTGAGGCTACACAAAAACACAACAGGTGGTGATTTCGTTTACTTTAACTCTCCAAGTTAAAATCCAGTGAATCTAGCACTACCTTTTAAAAGAAATAAATGCAAAATTACCTCGAGAAGAGCCTAGCCTGGAAAGTGACGAGCGGCGAAAAGAAGGATAACCGAAATAGCTAATGTCCTCTGAAAACATGGCGTCCGCGTCAATAATGACACTGGGGTGGGCAGAATGAATGTCGGCATCAAGAAGGGACATGAGATCCTCTACAAACAGAGACAGACAGCACAAATGGAGCAGCTACAGACAGTACACCATCAATCCCTCAGAGAACTCCAAAAATTAAATTGTATCTAACTCAGTGACCAGTATTACCTGAAGGTAAACAGCCAGGACTATCTTGGAAATAAGATTAATGTTATTAATATAGATTTTAAGGCACATGAGATGCACGATTGTTGTATGTCCTTACTAAATTATTATAAGAAAAAAGATCACTCTTAAGCTAGAACACATCAGAGGTAATACCATCAAGATTCAAATGCAGTTCAGTATTATATACTTTCAGTAGTAAGTTAAAAACTCAATTCTGTTCTCACTGGTCAGTCAAAAAAAAAGCTCTGCACAGACAGCTGCACGTGCACGAAGGATGAGTGTGAACCCACACGACAACCACACTTCCTGTTTCCTCTCATGGGCACTTTACACTCACATCAAGTAGCTCTTCCATGAGAAACAGCTGCCGCTTTTCAAAGTTATAAAACAGCAGGATTTTTTTTTTTTTTTTTTTTTTTTTTTTTGTCTTTTTCGTTTTTATCGGTACCAGGGATCGAACTCACGACTGCCTGCTTGCAAGGCAGGCGCTTATGCCGCTGAGCTAAATCCCCAGCCCCAAAACAGCAGGATTTTACAGTTCCATTCCTTGGTGGAATAGCAAAGCAGACAGGAGAAAGCAGTAGCATGACCCACTCACCTCCAGGCAAATACGACTCGCTGGCCGTGTCATCTCCGTCGTCTCCATCTTCATCATCCCGGCTAAGTAAGTTATTTACAGCAAGGTTTACATCAAGATTTGTTCGCTGAAGCTCTCGAATAATGACACTTCTAGATTTGCCTTGTAAAACAACCTGGGCCTAAAATAAGAATGAGTAAATAAGTAAGTGCTATGCTACTTTTCTCATTAAATTATTTATCAAACACAGCTAGCTCTCTAGCTATAAGCTATAAGCGTATCCAGGTACATCTGTAAAACCAGTTACCCAGGAAGGTGAGGCAGGAGTATCTCAAATTTGAGGCCAGCAGGCCCAACATAGCAAGATCTAGTCTCAAACTGAAATTTTATTTATTATTAGGGGAGTATACAGGGAATCAAACTCATGACCTTGCACTTCCAGGCAGATGCTTAGGCCACTGAGCTATATCCCTGGCTCATCAAAATAGAATTTTAAAAAGGGCTGTAACTCAACATTCCCTGGTTCAATCCCCAATACCAGAGGGGTGGGGCAGGAGAAAAATCAGCTCTATAGAATCAGTACAGAAAAACCCATCTTGCAATTCATACTGAGCCACGCCTGTACCCACAGAGCTCCACCAAAACAGCCTGAAGCCATACCTGAGATATGAGCTCCTCCGGAATGACAGACGCTGGGATGACCGGCTGCGGCTGGCTGCCCAGGAGTCCTGAGCCTCGGTCACGGCCTGTCCGGATGACGCGGGTCTGTCTCCTGGAGTCCCGGGTGCCTGCTGATGACCGGCCAGAGGACCCTCCTCCACTTCCACCCACTCCGGAGCTCCATCGGCTTCTGCGGACCAGAGAGTTTAGACAATCAGAGAGACAAATTCTCTGGATTTGAACACTTCATTCCCAAAAGGCTGCTCTGGGTCTCGTTTTCATTCATTCAGCTAAATTTATTTTTCTCCTTGACCTTCCTCTACAGGAATGCTCTGACAAAAGCAAAATGTAATTGGACTGAGCCTTAAAGTAAACACTCGCCTGGCTGTGGTGGCACACACACATCTCCGCCCCAGCGCTGGAGTGGCTGTACAGGTGGCTGGGCGGGGGCAGCACTGTGAGTTCTGGGGCCAGCCAGGGCTATACAGCAAGCCCCTGTTTCACAAAGCCAAAAGCAGTCCCAAGTTTTAAGGCTGAAATATAAATTCACTTCTTAGAAAGATGGTACCAAACATCTTTTAAAATGGTTTTTAGGGCCAGAGGATTTAGCTCAGTGGTGTAAGCACCTGCCTGGCAAGCGTGAGGTTGTAAGTTCGATCCCGGGTACCAAAAAAATAAAATAAAGTAAAATTATTTTTAAAAGCTACACATACTCATTTCTTCCATACCCTAAAATGAACGTAACTCACCTTCATATGAAAAAATCCCAGGAAGACTGAAGTATGAACTATGCTACACGAAAGTAAAACTCACAGTAGAGCTCAAGGTAGTTTGTTTAACATGAAACACATATTTATGAAGACAGTGTCTCATTTTTTTAGCATTATCACTTTAATAGGAATTTACTATTTAAAATACATTCATTAATTTTTTTTCCAAGTATAGTGAAAAGAACTTAAAAAAGGCAGAACAGCTACAGCCTCCCTTACGACCCCAGATGCGAATGAAGAAGCTTCCTGGCATGCCATCCACACGACCACAAAGCCCATGCTCACAGTGAGGTCAGGATAACATGGCTCTCCTTAAAGGGAGCCATGGATGTGTCACTCGTGGAGCATTTTATCCCCAACTCCTACAGCCTCAACCACAGCTGAAGCTTTCCATGGCCCACCCCACAGTTTTAATTAAATTCTCCAAGCTTCCTTTTCCTCCTTTAAAAAACTTAGAATATACTAAACAGTGACTCTCAAATCAGAACGCATCCAACTCTCTGGTTTGCCTTTACTTAGCTAGAAAAGGAGGAGGAAGAAGAAGTGGAAGCAGAGGAAGAGGAAGGAGGATAAAGAGGAAAGGAAGAGGAAAACACATAAAGAGGAAAAGGAAGAGGAGGAGGAGGAGGAGGAGGAGGAAGCATCCCCCAGCAAAAGTCAGCACCTCCCCGCCCCCCAGGCTTCTATGCTGCACTCCGCTTTCGGCTCCTGACTGCAGAAGCCTTCATCCATGGCCCTAAGGCCGCATCTCCAGCGCAGCAGTGGGAAATGGCCTTGTTTCAGTCATTTTAATAACCATCCAGAGGCCAGATGGAAGATAGAGGGACTTCATTAAAACCACCTTACATTTAAGAAACAAAATTAACACAATTCCTTTTATAGTGGTATCAAAAATACTTAGGAATAAACCTAACAAAATCAAGACTCACCTGGTAAAGCACAAAGGCACTGATACAAGAGATCAAGGAGACAGAAAAGATGCTCTGCAAGTTCATGGACGGAAAGAGGGAACACCACTAATTAGGAGCTCCATGCTACCCAAAGCAATGTAGTCAACATAATCCCTATCAAAATTTGAGCAGTACCATTTTTAAAAAATAGAAAAATTCACCCTGAAAATCCACATGCAAAACTGCAAAAAGCCAAAACTAATCTTTAAAAAAAGGACAAAAATGGAAGATTCCTGCTTTGATCTCAAAGCAGTACCATGGCATCAATAATCTAACCAAGCCAGGCGTGGTGGCACACACCAGAAATCCCAGCACTTGGGAGGCTGAGGCAGGAGGATCCTTGCAAATTCAAAACCAGCTTGAGCTACAAAGTGAGCTTAAGGCCAGCCTGAACTGCATGGCAAAGACTGTCTCAAAAAGAAAAACTCAAAGCAACACAGTGCTAGCATAATGACAAACAGACCCAGAGAAGAGGGGCCCAGAAGGAGACAAATGATAACAAGGTGCTGAAACCACACAACTGCAGGCTCTTCAGAAAAAGGGACAATGAGAACCCTGGATACACACACCTAAACAACTCAAGTCAGCCCCTGCCTCATGCCTGGGTCAAAAACGAACTCCAGGACTACAGTGTTTTTTACCGGTAAAAGAACACTTTGCTGGCACGTACAAGGCTCTAGGGTCAGTCTCCAGTGCCCCAAATAAGTAAGAAATACAGAACTCAAAAGCAATCACAGACTCTCCAACACAACAGCTGTTAACTATAAAGCTCCTAGGAGAAACCAAGGACAGCATAGTGACACCGGACCAGGCAGTGACTTCTAGGACATGACACCTTCAAAGCATAGTCACACTCACCTTCAAACTTTTCTATAGGACACTACACAATCAACGAAGTGCAAAGCTGCCCAGGGAACGGGGGAAAGGATTGGTAGATCATGACTTCAGTAACAGTTAATACCCAGTTTAAGAACCACTGTTCATATACAAGGCTGGTTGTAATTCAAGATTTGCAGGCACAATATATAAAGAACTTCAACTCAACCAGGAATGACAATACATGCCTGGAATCCCAACACTTTCAGAGGCTGAGGGGGAGGACCAGAAGTTCAAGTACAGTACAGGGTACTTAGCAAGACTCTGTCTCAAAATTAAAACTAGAAGTAAAAAGGGCTTGTGATGCAGCTCAGTATGAAGGCCTTGTGTTCAATCCCCCATACAACCAAAAGTAAGCAAATAAACAGGAAACAGAACTACCACAAGAGCCTGCAATCACACTTCCAGGTTTACACTCGAAAGAATCAGGCAGGGGCTAGAGAGCGCAGGTCCCCAGAGGTCTGCACAGCCCCCGCCTGGCGAGAGGAAGGAAGGGAGCCCTCTGCCTGTTGCGGCACAGAGACTCAGGGCACCATGCTAACTGCAGTGAGCGACAAGAGACAAGTGCTGTACAGCTCCCCAGGGTGTTATATGTATGTTATGCGTGTTACATGTATGTGATGTGATCAGGCCTGAGACTGGGCAGCAGGACACAGAGCTGCTGAATGACTTTCCTGTCTGCAAGATGAAAAAGATGGAAAGGCCCGTTTCATAACAAGTCAGCACCAACACTACTAAGCTGTATAAATGGTGAGGAGAGTGAATTTTATTCAATACCTTTCAGCCAAAATTAAATATAACTTTAAATTTAAAAATAACATTTTAAAATGAAATTGTGGGGGCTGGGGATTTAGCTCAGTGGCGTAAGTGCCTGCCTTGCAGGCAGGCAGTCATGAGTTCGATCCCTGGTACCGGTAAAAAGGAAAAAAGACAAAAAGAAATTGTGTAAGAAGTGCAATGGAAATGGCATAAGCACCTGCCTGGTAAGCACGAGGTTGTAAGTTTGATCCTCAGTACAAGAAAAAGAGAGAGAGAGAGAGAGAGAGAGAGAGAGAGAGAGAGAGAGAGAGAGAAAAGGAAGAAAGGAAGAAAGGAAGAAAGGAAGGAAGGAAGGAAGAAAGAAAGAAAGAAAGAAAGAAAGAAAGAAAGAAAGAAAGAAAGAAAAAGGAAGGAAGGAAGGAAGGAAGGAAGGAAGGAAGGAAGGAAGGAAGAAAAGAAAGAAAAGAAAGGAAGGAAGGAAGAAAGAGAAAAAATCTTCTCAAGTTATGTGTCTATATATGTATGTGCATGTGTATGTTATGCATATATTATGTGTTATAGGTATGTTATGCGTTATGAGCATGTTATATGTATATTATGTATGTTATGCATATATTATTATGTGTTATGTGCACATTGTGTGTTACATGTATGTGTGTTATGTGTATGTGATGTGACAAGGCTTCTAACTGCCCCAGATTCCCTAATCTAAGTGATAAACTGCAGACTTCCTTCGAGTTTATTGCAATCAATACAAAAACAGGAGAGAAAAAACTGAACAAATCAAGGAAACACAACTATCTTAAGACCCAACATATTTCTGACTATATCATTTCTCAATTTACAAAATGACTTGATCATGGTCTCACCATCAGCAGTCAAAGAATTTGTACTTAAATTTGATTAAAAGCTGGAAACCCACAGAATCAGTGGGCACACAGCTCTGAGCCTCATCTGGTGGGAGCAAGCGCACCACCGGCCTGGGGGCAGGGCTGAAAATGCTGGTGACTCTCCCTGCACCTGTGGGTCTTAGAGTCAGCGCGACCTCCAGACTGGCTCAAACTCACCGGCCCCTGCACAGCCTCTGGTCTTCTTCAGTCTTCACCCACTGAGAGGAGGGTTTAAACCCAGACAGCAAGGAAGCGACATACAAACAGGACCGATCACAATCCACAGAATAAAACACACTGGCTCCATGAGCCCACAATGGTGTATATAATTGAATAGAAAAAGACATGAAATACAAAATGGAAGGGAAGGGGAAGGAGAAGGCTGGGTTTGATTGAGCTGACACCATGCACATCATCTTAAGCCAGGTACATTATTCTCAGGAAATGTACTATTTCTGAATCCAGGTACACTGCCAGGTGTGGTGGGGCACACCTGTAATCCCAGGACTCAAGAGGCTACTGAGGGAGGAGGACTGATGAGAGTTTGAGGCCAGCCTGGGCTACACAGTGAGTTCAAAGGTAGCTTGTATGTGTATGCCTCAAGAAAAACAACAACAACAAAAAAAAAGAAATAAAGGTACACTGAGAAGGAAAGCCCTGGGCTGGAATCTGCATGCAGTTTCTTTACTTTGATAGTATGTAAACTCTAAAATAACCACAGACTTCAGTGTCTAGCTTAAAACTAGAAAAAACTACCAGACTTGGATACTGGAAAAGCAAAGTCTTAAGATTTTCTTCTTTAAAAGACAATAATAAGACACAAGAGACACCCAAAGATACAATCTTTAACCACTGTGAACGGCCCGAGTGGGACAAGGACCACTGTAAGCCCATGATGCTTTGCAACGGGCCTGGAGCCTGGGTGAGCGGCCTGCAGTGTGGGTGATTTCACCCCGAGGCTCACCACGAGCAGCCAGGAGCTCCTCGCACAGGTGACAGTCACAGTGGGCAGGCTCACTCCCAGAGCACTGGTCCCAAGACTCACCCCAGGGTGTTGCCTGCCAGCCGGCCCAAAGTCTCAGAGCCTGAGAGAAACCACGGGGAGTCACTCGTCCTGCCTGGCCTCGAGGTCCTCCCCGCTCCAGAGTTGCTGTTCAACTTTGATCTTGGGAAAAACAAGAGAGGAGAATCACTGAGTAGATCCCACCTGCTGAGAGGCACAACTGGAATTCTAGGCCTCGGTGTCCTGGAAATTCCTGCAAGGAAAGGCCTGAAATTCTGATGACACCTCTTAAATGTGTACTTCACAACAAACAGCAAGCCTAACAGCTGAGCGTGGCAGCCCAATACTGTACTTTGTGAGGCAGAGACAGGAGGTTGCAACTTGAGTCCAGCCTGGACAATCGAGGGACTTAGTGAGGCCCTATTTCAAAGGTTAAAGGGCTAGGGATGCAGCTCAGTGAAAAGGCCCTGGGTTCCATCTCTGTATTGGGGAAAAGAAGAAAAAAACAATCTTAACCTATGGCCTTGCAATGACCCACCATTTTTTTTTTTTTTTTAAGAAACAGGGTCTTGTTATGTAGCATAGGTTGGCTTTGAACTCACGGCAAATCTCCTGCCTCAGCCTCCTGAGTGCTAGGATTCCGGGATTACAGGCATGTGCCACCATGTGTAGTGTCAACCTTCCTTTTTTATTTCTTTTTGAGATAGAGTCTTGCTATGTAGTTCAGGCTGTGACAGTCCTCCTGCCTCTGTCTATAGGTGTGCACCATCATGCCCAGCACAATTTGAATGTAACTGAATACTAACGTGCATACTGTTTAGATCTCTTTAATTAATCACAGTTGTCTATGCTTACATATCTAGCAGCCTTTTTATGTCCTATAACTTTGAAAAACCAAAATGTTAAAGACCTCTTTTGTTTTCAAACTGAGTTAGCTGATTTGAAAATATTAAAAACAAAATCATGACACATAAAATCACTTCAGGGCCAGATGAGGTGGTGCACACCTGTTATCCCAGCACTCCGGAGGCTGAGGCAAGAGGACTGCTTTGAGTTGAAGGCAAGCCTGGACTACATAGTAAGATGGTGGCTCAAAAATAACAAAAAATAAATAAATAAAATCATTTCAGTACAAGAGGAGATCTGAGTTGGGACTCACAAAATAATGTAGTATTTTCTGGAAATTAATTCCTATTAAGAACTAACTGCTCTGCTGCTTTCAATCTTAGTGGTTTAGCTGTTTAAAAATTAAAACCGAACTGCAAACTATTTCACTGTATTTTAGGCACCTGATTTCCTTACTCCTTTTTGTTTGTTTGTTTGTTTTTGTACCTGGAACTGAACTCAGGACCTTGTGCTTGCCAGGCTGCCACTTATGCCACTGAGCTATATCCCCAGCAACACCTGATTTCTCTCAGTGCTTTCTTTTTTGAAATTTGAGGATTACCAGTGTCAAAGCATGTTTAATACAATTAATAGCTTCTAAAAGCTAAGTGCATCCTGTATTAAATACAAACAGCAGGCTGGGATGTGGCTGGGTGACATGGGCACAAATTCAACCCCCAGCACCACAAAACCACATGCATGTACACACACACACACACACACAAAGAACATGATGCCTTACCCATCATTATTATCAGGTTTACCCAATTCCAATCTGTCTGGCTGTACTGAAAAACCAATCCTGCAAACTCTTCCGTCCTATAAAACAAAGAAATTCTCCAAGTAAAAATATGCATTAAAACGTGCATTTATGAGCCAGGCGTGGTAGTGCACGTCTGTAATCCCAGCACTCGGGAGGCTGAGGCAGGAGGATTCTTGCAAGTTCCAGACCAGCCTGAGCTACAAAGTGAGCTCAAGGCCAGGCTGAACTGCACAGCGAGACCCTGTCTCAAAAAGACCAAAATAAGTAAATAAATCATGCATTTACGGTCACTGTTAACACAGAACACAGCAACAGAGCTCCCTCCCGGCATGACTGCACCCAAGTGGACAGTCCAACACATAATGCCATCCACAAAGCACAGTGGAAGCACTGGCTCTAGGGAGCCTCCCAACCCCTGGGGAGCAATTCCGGTCTTCTATGAGCCAGAGGACTGGCCCATGAAAGAAAGTGCTCAGGTGGGCCTCAAAGCAACTCTTCCCAGGCGCTGTGTCCCAGGGTGTAGAAGGTCAACATTACCTCGAGAAGAAAGGCGGCGTGATTTGGTCCCACCACACACTGTTTAATAGTAGCCTGCTCCAGTACATTCAAAGGGGGGTGACTAGGAACAAAAGAAACATGTATGTAAGCAAAATTATTTTTCCAATAGTAAATACATCTTAGGATTTGAAAAAAATCCCATTAACAAAAAAGCTAGTTGGCAAAACCGATTTTTAAAAGCTGAGTATCTAGCTGAGTGAGGTGTAATCCAGTAATCCTGCAATACAGCACTTTTGAGGCTGAAGCAGGAAAACTGCCACAAGTTGGAGGCCAGCCTGGGCTACACAGTGAGCTCAAGATCAGCCAGGACTACATGGTGACCCTGTCTCCAAAACACCAATATAACACACAGAGTAACTACGCTATCCCCATAACCACGACGGGTCTTCAGTATGCTAAATTATTTAAAATCAGTATAAATTTAAACTATAATTCAAATGAAGCCAACTCATAGAGTTGGCAGTTTAAAATATTCTTAACCTGATCACATCATGTTAATCTTAATTATACTAAGCTACCACCTAAACATGAACTCCTTTTCCAAAAGAAAAATTATTCCTTATCAGAAGATAAAATATCTTGGGCTAAGGATGTATCTTGGTTGCACAGTATGTAAGAAGCCCTGAGTTCAATCACCAGCACTGCAAAGAAATGGAAAATGTCTAAATTTAAAATAACTTGAAATTCTTACCTATTTAAATTATATTTGTTCAGTTTCTCTGAAACTTCTCGTAACCTTAAAAAACAAACAAAAAAATTAATCAACTATTAAATAGAAGGTGCTTTGTAAGTAAAATACTTCCAACAGATACTTGTACCACTATTTGGTGACTTTCAAAAGTGGTACTCTGACCAACAGCGAAGGCACGGACGTTCTGTGCAGTATTTACTTCTGTTTCAAACTGTCACGGGCACGCTCTGCAACTTACTCGACCCCATCAGTAACACTGACCCCAAACAGTAACTTCACTTTCAGACAAGCAAACCGGGCCCCCTAACACTTCACTAACAACTGGTAGGAGAGCTGCCGTTTGAGGCAAATGCCCAATGCAAACTAATTTTTAAAAACTGCTGTCCTGGGGGCTGGGGATTTAGCTCAGCGGCATAAGCGCCTGCCTTGCAAGCAGGCAGCTGTGAGTTTGATCCCTGGTACCGATAAAAAGGAAAAAGGCAAAAATAAATAGATAAATAAAAAACTGCTGTCCTGAGCCAGTTAGCTCAGCAGCATAAGCACCTGCCCAGCAAGCACAAGGTCCTGGGCTAAATTCCAGGTACCACAAAGAAAAGGAATTTAAAAACTGCTATCCAGGCCTAGACATACTTAAATGTACATGGGACGGGGCTGGGGATTTAGCTCAGCGGCATAAGTGCCTGCTTGCAAGCAGTCAGTCGTGAGTTCGATCCCTGGTACCGATAAAAACGAAAAAGACCAAAAAAAAAAAAAAAAAAAAGTACATGGGACATGGTGAAATGAAAATATTTTAGAAGCCTGGCCTGGTGCACATCTGTTATTCCAGCACTCAGGAGGCTGAGGCAGGAGGAGGATTACAAGTTCAAGGCCAGCCTGGACTACATGACAGGAACCTCTCAGGGAGGGAGGGAGGGAGAAAGAAAGAAAGAAAGAAAGAAAGAAAGAAAGAAAGAAAGAAAAGTGTGAAAGCACAGCTCTGTTAAGAATTTAAAATAAAGGGGTATAAAAAACCCAAAAGCCTCACTGCCTGACTAATGGCACAGTTCAGATTTCTTGAAGGAACTTAGGATGTGAATCTGTACCTATAACCACGTCAACGTCCTTGTCTATAGAGCAAGAAGCCTATGAGCCTGCCACATTTCCAAAACACATCTTTCCCACACCTAGAAAACTCCTCAGGGCTGCCTGCTCAAGCCTCCAGGAAACAGCGTGATTCATGCAAAGGTTCCAGCACACAGCAAATCAGACCAATCTACAGCCAATTGACAACAGAAGACACCCTTGAAAGTAGAGAGTTCGTCTATTGTGTTATGAAACCCAAACCACTGCTTGATCTTTTAAAACTGTTGCAGGATTCCTGTAAATTGAGAAATTCAGAAAACAGTGCGGAAAGATCAGAGCATCAAGTCAGGTGGAAATTCCACTTTCCTTAGTTCTTCCGTTACCCCAAACGAAAGAAAACGTCGCATGTTCATTAAGGAGCCCAAGTGCAACATGCCGGCACTGGCCAGCCAAGAATCAGGCACACAAAACAGGAAGGAGACTCTGGAGTTCAGAAGCACCCCCGCAAGGACGCACATACACCCAGCCTGGCCAGCTCCTGTTCCTCACCTCTCCCCTTCCCAGTGGGGGCTGGCCCCTCCAAGTCTCTCTCCCAGCCCAACTCTGAACTCTGAAACCCAGAGGGCCTTCCGAAAGCTGCTGTTATGTGAGTCACATCTTTCTGACATGGAAGTTAAAAACCAAAGAATTTCTTTAGTATGTATTTTCTTTTTTTTTTTTTTTTTTTCTTTTTCTTTTTTGTACTGGGAATTGAATTCAGGACCTAACCCTTACTAGACAGGCGCTGTGCCACTGGGTTGAATCCCCTGTCCTTTAACATATAAAGAAAACAAGCTCCTTACGCACAAGCATAAACAACACTCCTCTAAGACATACTCCTGTGCGCCCAGGCACTGTTTCTGCAAACCTCGGTCAGCAGCACTGCCCGAACTGACGCAACAGAGCGGGCCGCTCCCTCCGTACCGGCAGAGGCTGGGAGGCAACAGAGCTCTGGGCCCATCCCGGCACCAAGAATGGCGGCGTGAATATAGGGAGAAGAGCTGGCCCTCCACAGGAAGGTGCTGGAAAGAGAAGGAGTGCTGTATTTTATTTTTTCAGACAGGGCCCCATTATGTCCAGAAAGGATCTAGAATCCTGAACTCAGGTGCTTTTCCTGCCTCAGCCTCCCCTGTAGCTGGAATGCCAGTCTCACACCACTGTGCCGGGCTGGCTGGAAAGGTTTAAAGTGCTTCCCACAGAACTGGACACTTTCTTCTCCAATATTACCCTCAACATGACAAACTGCAGCTTCTCAAGGCCCGCAGCAACCCAGCACCCACAGCCACAAATGAGCCTGGCCGGCCGCCACACACAACTCAAGCTGGATGGCACATGAGGTTACTGGAAACTCGGGCAGACTGACTCACAGGGCTTCAAAATCCCACCTTGCAGAAAACTCTGACATTTGCTTAAAAGAGCAAACATACCTAGGAAAACTTTCAGTAAGGAAATAGTCACACTTCACTTGACAGGAAATGGAAAGACACTGCTACAGGGCCTGGTAACCTCAATGATATGGGCAACACATGCCACCAGTGCAAACTGCGCTTAACAGCAATGAGAAGGGGGACTGGTGGAAGGCAGGAGGGGGCGGCAAGAGGACAGAGACAGGACCGAGCTGTGTCAGAGACATGCGCGCACATACACAATGGAAAGACATCAATAACAACACACAGGTGAGAAGCCTGTTGCACACCCAGGGTGGACAAGCACAGTGTAGGTGACCTCACTGTGACGCAAACTGTCCCCCGCTCCAGGAAAGCCCAAGCTGCCGCCAGGAGCCCCCCCCCTCCCTCGCCACAGTACACACGCCGCCGCCCAAGGACCCACAATCAGGGGGAGGCCAGAAGGCGGCTCTCCTGCATCACCAGGGGTGCTCCGGTGAAGCCTGGGTGAGGCAGTCAGTGGCACCTCCTGCAGCCATGTCACCGCTTTCACTTGAGCTTGAAAGCCAGCACTTTACCCACTACTGTGTCTGGACCACAGCAGCAGTGTCCACATGAAGCAGGGCACGAGCCGCAGCCTGCAATCCCAGCCCTCGGAGAGGCTAAGGCAGGAGGATGAGGACCCAGCCCACCTGGGCAGCTCAGGACTTGAATCAATGAGAAAAAGAAACACAGAAAAGAAAGGGCTGAGGGTGCAACTAGTGCGAAGTCCTGGGTTTAATCCTCAGACACACACAAACACACATGGCCAGCATGCGGTGCTCACCTGTAACGTGGCACCCATCAAGAGGTGGCAGATAGCCTCTAAACCAGCAGCCTAACTCTCCTGGCGGCTTCCTGTCTATCCAGAGATGGCAGACTCCCACCCCAAGACCCACACGCACTAGCCTTTGTGGAGAAAAAGACTGTTGGCAGCCTCCTGGGTCACTGCTCACAGGAGGAGACACTGACATACTGGTTCTTTTTTGCTGTTGTTTATTCTTGAGACAGGGCCTCACTACACAGCTCAGGTTGGCTTCAATCTCACTATGTAACCTAGGGTGGCCTTGAACTTATGTAGATCCTTCTGCCTCAGCCTCCCCAGTGCTGAGATTACAGGTGACTGTCACCCCATCATGCTTGGGGTGGTTTTAAAACCTCATCACTTGATACTGGTTATGTAGCTGCATGTCTTTTGAAAAATGACTCCCAAAGCTAAGAAGCTGAGGCAGGAGGATTACTGTGAGTCTGAGTACACCCAGGGCAACTGAGTTCAAGGCCAGCCTGCACTACACAGCAAGACCTTGACTCAAAAAGCAAAGGAAAATGGCAAGAGGCCTCATCTCTACCACTTTGAAGCAAGGCAGGCCTAGAACCAAGGCAATCTGTGTGTTGCTTGTCCATGCACTGGGGTGCAGTGAGCGTGCGTGTACAGGTCGGGAGCTGGGAGTTTAAAAACTCCCGGAAACACAGGAACTGAAACACAGTTCCTGCCCACAGAAAGTCTGCTGGGTAAGGAAAAAGAGCGAGCAGGGACAGTGGGAGAGGTGTGTGGGGGCTCGGAAGTGCGTGTGCAGTCTGGTGTCTGGAGGAGTTAAGGTCTCCTGGAAGCCCGCACACAGTTGCCAAGTTGTAGGGTGCAGGGGCTGTTGCTGCACGAAAGGTGCGGGAACAAGCTGCTCACTGCGGGGAGATGTGATCAGAGACAGCAGGGACTCGGAGAGAAGACATCTCCCACAGAGCAAGCTCTCTTTCTGATAAAACCCATGCACAACAACAGTCACTAGGAAATGGGAAGAAAACATTCGCATGAGAGAACAACTGGTGTGGGGAAGGAGGGACAGGAAAAAACAAAATAGAAGGGAAAAATGAAAACTAGACTTTGTGCATAAAGAGGGGCTGAAGGAAGGGGAGAGGAATGGGGAAAAAGACCCAAGATGCATCATGTACATGTACAGGTACAACTCTCTATGATGAATGTCTTCCTTATGTACATCTACCATGTACCAACAAAAACGAAAGGGGAAAGAACAAAGGGTTCACAGTACATCTGCAGGCTTCTGTGTCTCAGAATCCTCAGGCTTAGGAGTCATCCTCTGGACCCTCGGATTTCTGCCCGACTTCAGGGTTCTGACAGGGCCTGTGCAGGCTGGCAGCAATTTAGGGAATATGAGGCTGCATGGAGCTCAGTGTCACTGACAGTGGCCAGCTCGCTCCAAGGCTCATCACAGAGCAGGCCCCAGGACTTGTGCAAGCAACACCACATGCAGACTGAGTGTGGCCACACTGCTCAGGGCACTCCAAGGCCACCGGGCCTGGTGGCAGGTGGCACCACAGCACAGGCACAGTTCCTGGGTCAAGCGTAGCCGCCCAGTCACAGCCTGCTCTTTTATTTTAGATGTTAATAAAAGGGCTGCGTGAGCCACTCAATAGCCCATGGTCAATCAGCTCTTGGGACCCTAAAGGCGATGAGGCTTGGAGCTGACATGGACCTCCCCCCAGCAGACTCCAGGCCCCTTAGGGGAGTCTCACGTTCCCCCTGAGGCCGAAGGACTTCCACCATCAAGCTCACCAGTCCTCTCTTCTTCTCTCCAAAGAGAATAATTTGTATATATCAGCTGCATTTGGCAGCTACTGTGAAGCAAGGAGTTTCAGATTCTAAATGCAGAGATGGTCTGGGGAAAGAAAGCCAAGTGTTCGGTCTTGAGCATTTGCCTGGGTTCCTACATTTTTAGCTGGAGCTTTTCTGTTAGCACAGTTACATTCTTAATATTTATGTACACTTTTGCAGTTAAAAAATGAAATGAGATGAAACAGGAACTTAGGAGGTTATTAAGAAAGACTGGCAGAGCATGACAGTGCGCATCTGTAATCCCAGCACTTGGAAGGCTGAGACAGGAGGATGGCTGTCAGTTCCCGGCCAGCCTAAGCAACAAAGTGAGTTCAAAACCATCCTGAACTACACAGCAAGATCCAGTCTCAAAAAAAGACTGATGTGTAGCAGCCCATCTTTAATGTTCTCCCACTCCAACCCCGCCTCATACAGTACTAGGGCAAAAATTAAGGCCTTCATCCACCTTCACCCAGAGCCCTTTTTTGAGACATGGTTTCACACCAAGGTGCTGCCTTCTCAGGTTGGGTTTGAACTTGCCATTGTCTTGCCTCAGCCTTCCAGAATGCTGGCATTACAGGTGTGCGTCGTCACCATACTTAGGGGCTCTTACCTTTTGCTACTAAACTTCCTGTTGTCCATTTTACTTACTTTAAAGGAAACTGATGCGTGTGCATGCATGTGTTTGGCATTTCCTTTCTCAGATGTGTTTATCTTTCAAATGGCACGGTAGTGTGGATTTTGATCTCCTTTTCACTTTATTATGAAAAACGTTATTTGTGACAGCTATATAAGTGCCCCTCATTTAACAACCCAGTTCTGAACCTGCAACTAGGTTGTTAAATGAACTGGTCGAAAAATGAGGAACGGTGCATAGCATGCACAGCTGTTAGACTGAGAACTGGTGGTCAACTTAACGCCAGCTGGATTACATCAGCATGGCATTGAGCGAAGACGCTCCACCTGAGGAAAGTTGCCAGGATAAATAGGTGGAGAAGAAGGGAGGTGTAGAGGGTTGAGGCATTAAGGAGACATTGTGGGTTCTCCTACGTGTTGCTGTCTGAGCTGCTGGTTCTCCTGGAGAAGCCTTGGTCCTCACATCGAGCTTTGCTTCCTGGCTTCAGAAGGGAAGACATGTGCTGCCTGGTCTCCAGGATGATACTCGTCACGCTGCTTCCTGACACGTACCAGACTGTGCTTGTCGTCGGAGGAGCTCGGGACCTCTGTGTCGCTGAGGACAGCTGTGGTGCCTTTCGGGATAGCCCTGGTCTTTGTTGTGAGTGTGACTTCTCATCTCCAGCATAGAACCCTCATCCCACTAGCACAACACCTTCATCCTGCTGGCATAGACTTTCTGGCTTCCACCGCTGACCCTTGGGTCTTCCCGGCACAGATCCGTAAAAGAGACTGGCGTGAGTCCTTCTTGTGGGCTCTGGACCTCTACTTGGACTCGTGGGAGGCGTTGTCCTGAGCTCTGGGTTTTTATCTGCACTCATGTGGGACACTGCCGTGGGGTTTAGGCTCTTGACTAAATAATCTATGTGTTTGGTGTTGTAGATAGATTTCCTTTGCATTCTCCTGTGTTAACTTCCAGTAACCATTATAAAAATATTATAAACTCCATGTCCTAATCCTAGTTGTTCTCTGTGTACAACTCCTGACTACCACAACAGCACAGCATTCAGAATGAAGAAATGGTCAAAGGAAACTCCATCTCAATGACTCTTGCTTTTGTTTGCGTAACTCTTCTATGCAATACTATAATGGGGAACATCACAGACAACAGCACCATACTATGCAGCGCCATTAGTAAAAATCACGGGCCAAAGAGGTGAGCCGTGTACAAAGCCAGCAGGGCTTTGCCAACAAAGCAGACAGAACTACACCAAAAAGACACCCCCTGCGTCCAAACAGCCCTTTATACAGGTAGGTTATTAAGTGAGGAATATCTGTGTAGGAATTTCTACCATAATACAGTCCAGGATAGAAAAAGACATTGTTTGTAGACATGTGATTGTCTCTTAGTTTTTTCCTGGGTTTCTTTCTAATCTGAATTTTCTCCTTTAGTTTAACAGAAATACAAGCTGTAACTGAAACTCCTTTTACAGAGAATAGACTTCACACTGGAAGCTGGGCACGGTAATGCACCTCTGTCACCCCAATGCTTGGGAGGCTGAGGCAGGACTGCCATGTGTTCGGGGCCAGCCTGGGTACAAAGTGAACTGGAGGTCAGTGTGCACTACACAAAGCAAGACCCAGTCTCAGAAAAACAAAAACAAAAAGTAAATAAATAAAAATACACAATCACACCAAAGGAAAGTTATTCTGCAAAACAATCCTTCGTTAGCCTCCACCAAGACACGAATTCCAGCAGAACTGCAACCGTGAGAAGAACCCTGTCACCAGACCAGGAAATCTGCTCCGCACCTCACAGCCCTTTGAGGCAATCCAGCCTCTCCCCAACTGCCTTCATCTGCCTGGGTGCTAGGGAAACGTGCCTAGGGGACCAAGAAGAAGGCGGAAGTGTGGGAAGGGCACTGTGGGTGCCAGCTGCCCTGCTTGGCCCTATGCAGCTGCTGAGCCGCACTGGTCACCTGCCTCAGCATGCAAACAGCACTGCGTCCAGTCACAAGTCTTCTGTTGACAAATAAGGTAAGCAAGTGTTCTGGTATCTGATAGTGACCCAAAATGAAAACAGTCAGATAACAATACACATATTAGGGGCTGGAGATTTAGCTCAGCAGCGTAAGCACCTGCCCTGCAAGCAGGCAGTCGTGAGTTCAATCCCCAGTACCGATAAAAAGGAAAAAGACAAAAAAAAAAAAAAAATACACATATTAAACTCAGCTGACTCGGCTTGACTGATCATCAGCATCACAACTCTCATGCAAAAGAAAACTTAGTGCTGACCGGTCCTACTGACACCAAAGAAAGCCTCGGCGGTCACGTCCCAGGTCTGCCCTCTGTGACCTTACTGAGTGCACTTGGCCAGTCATCAAAAATTCCTGGGGAGCATTTAAAAATAGGTATTCCCAGGCCCAACGCCCACCTGCTAAATCAGAAATCCAAAACAAAGGTGGACCTCCACAATCTGCTACAGCTAGATGCACTCTGGTACAAGAATGACAGGTCACTGGAAGGAGTGACTTCAGTACCCGTAAGGAAGGGAAGTAGCCCAGGAGACAGCATTTGCCCTGCACACTGCCTGAAACTACAAATTTTACACCACATGAACACGGTACCAATGCAAACTTCTAAAAATGGTTCCTGGAGGAGGAGAACATGGCGGACAGACAACAGCAACTACCGGAGGCTCTCTGAAAGGCTCGGCTCAGAGGCCAGGAATGATGCGGACTAAGGAGACACGAACCGGTAGAGATATGCTCTGCTGACTCAGGAACGAACTGGGCTGAGAGAAACCAACTTAAAATATAGTCCTGGCGCTAAAATAGGAACAGAAAAGGCTCGGTGTGGAGGCTCGACTACGTGCCATTGGAAACCGCGATTTGGGTATCCTGCCGCAGTTTGGATTTCCCGCCGCCCGGCGGCTGGCTGCCTCCACAAGCGGCTCGGCAAGGAGAGACGCGCAGAAGCTCTGGGAACGGGAGTCTGCGAACGGAGTCGAAAACAGGACGGACAAGAAGGCGTACACGAAAACTGACTGGTGGCAAGGTGAGCGAGAAAACTGAGCCCCTACCACAGTTTGACTCCAGCGGAGGTTTTTCTGGGCTCGGGCAGTCCTGCGGCAGCAGGGCGCCGTGGCAACTCCAGCCACACATTCCCCTCTCGGACGGGATTGGTGAAAAGTGCCTGGCCTGCGTGACGCTGCGGGCGGACTCCCTAGGCTGGCCTAACCCAGATCCCAGAGCCTGACGGTGGCCCGGAGGAGCGACCGACTCCCGCGTAGGCTGCCTCCTCCGCAACTCCCTGGGGCGCAGCGGTGGGCGGGAACAACTAGCCAGCGCAATTTGATCAGGCTGTGGCTGACAGGCAGGGAAGCCTGGCTTCCTTTGTAAGCTTGCATTTTATAAGGAAGAGAAAATATGGGGAAGGGAAGCAACAAAAAAGGCTCCTCGGCCCCCAATCCTGAGAAACAGGCAATAGTGGACACTGCACCAATATACATTAAGCGCCATCTAGAGAGCCTCATAGACTGTTGGGAGCCGTGGCACTGTCAAGTCATCAGACGCGGTGATTGCGAGGCCTGTGGGAAAGTACAAAAGCCTGGGCTAGATTACCCCTCTCATCGAGCCCGCCTGTGTGGCACCTGTTTCTTATCACCCCACTAAGTTCCCGCCTCACAGGGTAGTCTGCCTAGCTATTAATCCTATATATAGCCAGTGCCTCCACCCCCGAGAGAGAGAGAGACTGAAGCACGGAAGGAGCCGCAGAGAGCGGACCGGTAGAGGCTTCGGGGCAGACTGAAGCACGGAAGGAGCCGCGGAGAGCGGACCGGTAGAGGCTTCAGGGCAGACTGTATAAGGAGAGAATAAAGAAAAGCCTGACCACCGCCAGACCTTGTCGTGTGTCTTTCCTGCCGGCCGGGAGCGGACATCGACATTTGGTGGCCCGTACGGGGATTGATCAACCCCGAGACGCGGCGGTGGACTGCATTCTCCTACACAGTGCTGCAGCTGCAGGACAGGTGAGTAGAGGATAAGCCTGGGCCCTGGGTGGCGCGCACCTACAGGGTTTGTAGACTCCTCTCAACCTCACGCGTAAGTGGCGGGTTTCTTGGGCCTCACGCGGTGAGTATGAAACATAACACCAGAACTTAAGGTAATAAAAGAGTGTAAAACATAAACATAGAAGTAAAAATAACAGAAGATATATTAAAAATGGGAAACATGCCAAGTAAAGATACACAGCCTTGGTGTTGGTCCTTCGGAGACTCCTAAAGTCCAAGGACCTCAAGGTGGGGCGTAAGACTTTAGAAAATTTCCTTGCAGAGATTGACAGCTTTGCTCCCTGGTTTCTGCCTACAGGGCATGTAAACCTGCCCTCCTGGGAAAAGTTGGGCAGAGACCTTTCCCTAGCAGAGCGGGAGGGTAGAGCTTCAGTCTCTGCTCGTCCATTGTGGGAAATGATACACACGTGCCTAAAGAGTGAGGGTAGTTACGGGGGGAGCTCTCAAGAACTTGTAGAAGTACGCGAGGTGTTTGAACAGGCACAGTGAGGAAGCTCCCGAGAAGGGTCCGTCAAGGAGGGCAGAGATACAAAAGAGGAAGCCGAGGCGCGGTTTGTGTCTTTCCGCAGGAATCGGGACGAGAGCCAATGTGGGTCCCAGAGAGGTTGACGCGACAAGTCCCTCGACTGAAGATCAGGCCTGTTCCACCAGAGGCCAACCGCAGACCCAACAACAAGATGAGCCCTAAAAGAACTGCAGGACAATCCCTTTTTGGGGGCCTGGAACGGCTTGCTCCCCTATGTGCTACCCTTGTATACGCATGGCTCGCTCGCATGGCCTACGACCGCGTTTAAAAGTGACAGGCTTCCCACATTCTCCTCCCTAGACAACAACATGTAGCAGGGTGGGTGAGTCAATGACGGGTAAGAGCGTGCCTCCCCAGCACGACTCAACCTAAGCCAGGCCCTACCCCGTTCCGCTCGAAAGCCGCTGGATTGTTAGATAAATTTCTCTCCGAGGGGATTCGTGGAGAGAAATGAGTGCATGCCTATGTGCAACCAGGTTCCGTCCGGTTCATTCCTGGCCCTAGAAAAAAGGACGAGGGCCTCAGGGCCTTGGTGGACCCTGGGACGGCCGACCAGGGTCTACGCTAAGGGCCTACGGTGGGCCTCAGTTCGGGGCATAGGCCTCTGCACTCTATCCAGGACGGGCTGCGATGCGCGTAGCCATCATTTAAAATAAAATAGGGGGAGATGTTGGGAGCCATGGCACTGTCAAGTCATCAGACGCGGTGATTGCGAGGCCTGTGGGAAAGTACAAAAGCCTGGGCTAGATTACCCCTCTCATCGAGCCCGCCTGTGTGGCACCTGTTTCTTATCACCCCACTAAGTTCCCGCCTCACAGGGTAGTCTGCCTAGCTATTAATCCTATATATAGCCAGTGCCTCCACCCCCGAGAGAGAGAGAGACTGAAGCACGGAAGGAGCCGCGGAGAGCGGACCGGTAGAGGCTTCGGGGCAGACTGAAGCACGGAAGGAGCCGCGGAGAGCGGACCGGTAGAGGCTTCAGGGCAGACTGTATAAGGAGAGAATAAAGAAAAGCCTGACCACCGCCAGACCTTGTCGTGTGTCTTTCCTGCCGGCCGGGAGCGGACATCGACAATAGACCAATTCAGGAATGAAGTTATCAACGACCTGAAGCTAGAAGTATGCAGAATAGTTAAAGAAATGCTAAGCACCACCCAGGAAAAAACAGATGGTGGAATGGAAGAACAGAAAAAGAGGGGAGAATTGTTTGATGGAGAAAACAGAGAAAGCACTGAGTATGTGAAGCAGGTTCAAAGGGACTATCAAGAAATTAAGAAGTCTATCGAAGACTGGCATAACAGCTTGAAAGAAACTAAGGACAGACTATCTGAACTGGAGGGCAGACTTGTAATATGGGAGAATGAAATGAAAAACTTCTTAAAAATGACAAAGAAACAAACAGCAATAATACAAAGACAAGAAGATGATAAGAGGAGCCATAACTTAAGGATTAAGAACATAAAAGAAGAAGTAGGGACACAAACAAGTGAACTACAAAAGCTACTCACAGAAATAATCCAGGAGAATTTTCCTAATTTAGCAAAAGGTAAAGATACTCAGATGTATGAGGCATACAGGACCCCAGCTACCTACAACCCTAACAGAGAAACACCCAGGCATATAATAATAAAAATTCCAGAAATTCAATACAAGAACAGAATATTAAAAGCTGTAAGAGACAAGAAACAGACTACTTACAAGGGAACACCCATCAGAATTACAGCAGATTTCTCTTCACAAACCATCAAATCACGAAGAGCGTGGGGGGAAATAATTCAAGCTTTGAAAGATAATAATCTCCAGCCAAGATTGAGATATCCTGCACAACTGTCCCTGGAAATTGATGGAAAAACGAGGTGCTTCCAGGATAAAGAGGAACTGGGGGAATTTGCAACCACCAATTCAACCCTACAGAAAGTATTGCAGGATATTCTAAAAAAAGAAAAATACAAAGAACCCAGAAATAGTGGCGGGGAGGCTACAACGAATGGAGCAGAGAACAAAATGAAGAAGACAAACTGACAGCTACTGACAGAAACAGAGCTCAACAGAAATGAGACAGAGACGATTGGATGATAGGAACAGCTATTTTGGAGAAAATGACATCTTAATAGGTAATACCGATTTAGTACCATCTTGTTTTGAAGCCTCATCTAGCTTTTGTTCTTCTGTCTCCAATGGTCTAAACAGGTTGTATCTTATTGGATTTTATTATGTACGATAGTATAAGCAAAAACCTTGCAAAGACAAGGAGACTATACAGAAACCATTGTTCATTTTCTGTTAGTCGATTCTAAATACTCTATAATGCTGTCATTCTCTTAAATGGTTTTACATTGTTTTGATATACTTAATGCTACAGTATACGAAGTTGTACTCAAGGACTTCAAGGAAAGAGTCAATATGGTAACTACTTTTGGGTAGGAAATATCTGGTGGTGAAACACTATTCTGCTTAAATGGTTATGTTTTGATCTGCCCTGTTTCGCTGTTATGCCCTCTTTTTTTTTCTCAATCTCCACTCCATTATATACTTTTTTATTTTTATCCGTTTAATTAAAGGGAAAAAATAGCAGGATATAATATAGTAACCCACTATGACTTTCTATTATCTCGATTTGAAGCCCTGTATTACTCTCACCATCTTGTTTTTGACTCAGGTTCCTCTATTCTGTTTTGCTGGATAGTATCAGGTTCGAAAGTTTAGGCATCAGCTGAGAAGATAATGAGATTCATTATAACGCCCATTCTCGTTGACATTTATCTACTTTTGAAGACCTACAATATTTCCAATGTTTTGGTTTTGTCGGTTTTATTCTATACTGTTTTGTTCAATTGTATTACAACTAATGATATAGACAATTCTATTAGAAATAGCGGGAGGCATTATGGTAACCATTGTTGATCACCTTGTATTATGTTTTTATGTTATCTATTATATCCACCCTTTTGACTTGACCGATTCGGTTCTGTTATGTCACATTTGGTTTTACTCTCTTCCAAAAAAGCAATAAGAACTGTGGGAGCAATGAAACCCAAAATGTGTAATAGTCACAGTACAAAAGAGAGGAAAAGAAAGTGCTCTAAACTATATAACTGCATGTATATTTAAATGTATGAGATAGAAAATGATATCACAGAGTTTTATTGGATCAGTGAACAGAACTGTTTGCAGTATCATTGTTGGAATGTCCACTCTACAAGCTTTAATTTTGTGACTTGAACAATTATTTCTAAGATGGCAATATGTAATCCATTAACTAGTGACCTCCTACTGCACATTTTTTTCTTCTGTAAATCAGTATAACTTGTACCCCTTCACTGTTTTTTTTTCTTTTCTTTTCTCCTTAAATAAAAAAAATAAAAAAATAAAAAAGGTTCCTAAGCATCCTGAGCCATCTTAAGCATCAGCAAATGCAGGACCCACTGCTGTGCCTACCAGGAACACACGGGAGGATGTCTGGAATAGCCACAAGATCAGCAACTCACTTAGGGCAACACTGTCTGCAGCTTAGACCGTCTGCCAGACACCCTGAAGAATTCACAACCCGCCAGCCTCCTTAAAGCTTCCAGTCAGCCCCGGCCTGCAAAAACCTGTTGAACTCTGCTAAATCTTGAGTCTCCCAAACTAAAACCACACATGGAGCGCTTTCTAGTAAAATCTTGCAGAACCATCAGACCTGGGTTTGAGATCTCAGCTCCCTGAGATAAAATTCTTCTCTCTGCACCAGAAGCTGGAGTACAATACCACAATACAGAAAGCTTCTTCTTTAAAAGGGAGTGTGACAGTGAAAAGCTGCCTTCCTTGTCTTTTCTCTCCAAACAAAAATAATTACCCAAAGTTCTTACTGTTTGATTGACGAACAAATTAAAAAGGTAAACAGCATAAGCAATCTCACTCTACCTGAAATTATAAAGTACAAACAGCTATAGATTATGTTTTAAACCCATACAACACAGTAACAATATTTTATTCCATTAAGTGGGAAGATAAAGGAGTTGAAAATTCCCTACTTAAGGAAACAGCAATGAATTTCAGAATGATTTTCCTTCCCCAGTAAAAGCAGAGCTTGCTGGGGCATCTGGTTCCCATTATGCCAGACCAATCAAAGGAGCCAAACCAGCGAACCACCCAACAGTTCACTGCTAACCAGAAACAAGGGCATCTGTGTCCTCGGGACCAGTGTGAAAGGTGAGTCAAGGGGATCTGTGAAATATGCACTGTCAGTTCTTTACCACCATAGTCTTCCTTTAGGAGTAAGTTAGGCATGGAAACCACAGCAGGGGACAAGTACCCTAAGCCACACAGCTGCAAGCACCCCCGCCCCGCCCCGCCCCGCAAACACACCCCTCAGGTTTGCCCTCTCACAGCTCCCACAGCAGTGAAGGCTGCAGGCCAGTGCGCACATGCCGGCCTTCAAGGATCCTGCACTAAGTGCTTCTGTGCTTCACCACACAATGACTACTCAGCTATCATGGACTCTACAGGCAGCCCTTGACCTCCCACAGTCACTGTCTCCGGACACTGCAAAAAAGGAAAAACCTCAGTGCCCTAAAACCTCACGGTGGGGATGTGACGGTGAGCTCAGCATGAGAAATCATGAGAGACAGCTGCCCACTTCGCACCTCCACCCAGAAACTGCTGCTTTTTCAGGTTTGAATTCCTGGGCATCACTTCTTATCAGAAAAGCACATGTACACATCCTCCATCCTACAGCAGAGGATGTCGGGATGCATTCACAAACGCATTCACTTCACACAAGAAATCAAAGATCATCAGAACACAGAAAAAGACGGCACCATTAATGATAAACACCAATCCACCAGGGCCACCCGGCATCCTGGAATGTGAATGCCCCTAGCATAACTGCCTCCAAAGTGTGCCAAGGAAGAACCAGCCCGGAGCGTGAGCGTCTCCAATGGGCAGCTCAGCCGCTGCTGTCAGGGCCTGGTGGACCAGGTGAAACCGCCACAGCTGGAGCCTAGCACAGGAGCTCAGCACACTCCACCCCCCCCCAAGTAAAGAAACTGCTCATAAACTGCCGAGTCAAAGACACTCCTGCAAGCACATATCTGAATCCTGTACTCAGACAGGTAAAACTGTCTTCCACTTGTACAGATGACAACCTGTCATTGTGCCCAGTAACGTTT